TGTGTGTGTGTGTGTGTGTGTGTGTGTGTGTGTGTGTGTATCCATATGTGACAAAATGAAATAATCTTCAAGTTTTTTTTTCTTGCCCTTATACTTCCACATTCTATCCCAGAGCACCAATAATGTTCCCTTGATCCCACCCCAAAAACTAGTGTCACAAAGACTCATGGGGAATGGGTAGCTAGCAGGTAAAGGAAAATCTTATGTAAATATTTTTAATTAGTTAATTTATTTAGAGATGAGTTTCCAGCCATGTTGCCCAGACTGGTGTGGAACTACTGGCTAAGGTGCTCCTCCTGCCTCAACTTCTTCAGTAGCTAGGACTAAAGGCCTGTACCACTGTGTCCAGCTTCAACTATATATTTTAAAGTAACTTGCTACGGTATCACCTAAGCCTGGTCTAAATTTTAAAATAAAAAAAAAAATTTCTTTGCAGCTTTTTGTATTTTACTAGAGTAGAACATGTACAAGGGAATCACAATTTAATCATGAATAAAATCCTCTGCTCAATATGGTTCAGAAGTGCATCAGCTCATGTCACTCCATCTGCCAGCTTCTTTCATGTCTTCTATGTGAATGGACCTGAGCACAGAGTCAAGGACTCAGTAAGATGTTTGTGAAAAGAACAGATTAATTTCTTCCCATTTCACCTACAAAACAACTTTATTATATGACTACAGGAGAAGGGAGGTAAGAAGCATCAACTAATCGGTAGAGTAGAAATTTAGAGACTAAACCTGCTTTGAGTCCAGGGCTCTGTCACACCCGGCCATCACATCCAGGGCCTGATCAGCTGATCAGGGTCCTAAGCCTAGCTTAATTGAGCACATTTCCAGAAGAAGCAACAGTTTTCCCTTTGTAAAGCCCTTTGACAAATGGGAATCTCATATTTTCTTCAGGTTATTGAAATAGCGAGAGATCAAAAGCAAGAAGAAGGCAGCCCTATCATTACACATTTTGTTAAAGAAGCAAGAAAGCTGGCTCTTCCACTGGAATACCTCTTCAAGCTGAGGAAAACCATGAAGAACAAACTCACTAAGAAACAGGGGCCTGGAATTGTTTTTAAATTTTAAACTTTAAGTATAATAAAATTATTCTATTCAACTTTAATTCTTTTTACATGAGGAGGAGAAACGAACTCAGCCATTCCATTCAGTCCAGAGAGCATCTGTCTAAATGTTAATAGTCGCACGCCCATTCCATGACATTCATGCATTCGCATTCCACTGCTGAATGCCACCTCCCCATTTGCTCTGCAAATAACTATTAATCTCTTTACACTTATCCCCTTGCTGACAAGAGCAGCTGTTGGTCTCGCCTTCTCTCCCCTCTGACTTCTATAGCTCCTGCCTCTCTCCTATCCTCCATCTTGGGCTTCCCCTCCTGACAGGTGTGGCAGAACTACAGGTAAAGCAACTACAGAAGGAAAATAAAACCTGAGGCCCAGGCTGGTACAGATGTATCCACGCCCCTGGCTGAACTAAAGCTCTTAGGTATCCAAGCCTGAGGCAACCGCCTGGAAAGGGGGTTGAAAAGATATTATTTGTGTTCAAGTTAAGGGTCAGTATACAAAGCACTCCCTAACCTCCTGTAGGAATCAGATAATGCACCCAAAGGCACGTGCTTCCCTACAGCAGTACAATTAGGGAGGCAGCCGTCCCTGACAAAAAGGACAAAGAAACTGGCTGAGCACTTTCTCGCAGGCAGTAAATGACTGTTGGACCACCCCTTCCTCCGCCTCCTTGCTACAGGAAGGAACTACAGCTAATTGTGGGCTTGGATGAGAACAAAGAAGCAGGGGCCCTTGGAATGTTTTTCCCCAATATGTATAAAGGGAAAAGTTGGGGGCCCAGCTTTAAAAGACAGTGAGTAAACACTAACCCATTCTCCAAAGACTTAAGAGAAAGGGAAATTCCATTTACCAAAGAGTCACAAAGAAGACCCCTGCAACCACAGCTAAACTGAACATACTGGGTGGCACCAAAGAGGCAGAAACTGTATCCAAAGCCCAGTGAGAGCAGGGGGTTGATGGGTCTACTTTTAAATGCCATGTTTTAAAATTCTTTATAATTTCAAGTAACATATTATTCTTAAAAAACAATGGAACTTTTTCCTAATGCTAATGCTTCAATTCATATGATAAAGCTACATTTCTCAATATTGCAAAAAAAAAATAACGTATTATCCAAAATAAAAGTGAGAAAACACATTTCAATTGAAATGCTTCCAAATTAACACTTTAAAGACAGAACCTGAGCATTATATTCAATTCTTTTTTTTTAAACACAAAACCAGCACTACTTAGTTCAAAATTAACAAAATCATCCAAGTAAGAACTGTGTGACTGGAAATCTACTTGGATACTTTTCTCAATGTACTAAAAATCAGTAAGTCAAAAGCCCTCCGTAGGAAACAGTTCTTTGGAAGTTAATCATTTAAATATCTAGTTTTATAAAAAGGTTTTTATTTGCTTATTTCTTTGATTAAAAGAGAGATTGCATGTGTTGACAGAGTATGATTGTAGGCCAAGGGCCCAGCAACATAGTAAAGAAGAACGCATGATAGGACCAAGAAAATAACCTGAAGTGTACAATGCTAAATGAGCATGCAGGATCTCTTGTTCATTAATTATTAAGAATGTTGAAACAGTGATAGTAGGGCTTTAAGCAAAGCACATCACTCTTCAGGGGACAATCCCTATTTGACTAACTCCGTGGTTTGCATATTTATGAAGCTACCCCTCACCCAGGTCAATGAATAATATCTATTTCTCGTTTTCCACCAGAGTGAAGTTGGTAGGGGGAAGGCAGCAATGCCTGGGCCCCTTCTTAATTGCCAATAATTTTATAAACACAGAGGGGAAAATGCGTTTATGGGATATTAAAGCAATGCTTATTGACAAAGACAAGTAAGAATATCAGGGATAAGAACATAACATTTTCACATCAGCCATAAAAACTGCCCTTGGAATAACACTGTTTGGCCCCATATGTCCCATGTGTTTCTTATCTAACAAAGTTTATTAGAACATTTGAAGTAAAAAGGAAGTAAATTCTCCCTTTCTAACTATAAAGTACTTTGATCTCAGAATAACCTAAACACACTCTACAGGCATAACAATATGAATGCATGACAATATTAGATATCTATCCCATCATATCCAAAAGAGGAGGCAATCTTCTTTCACAAAGTATGGGAGAAGAAAATGAATACAATTTGTCTAATAGCTTCTGTAATCCCAATAAAGTGGAAAAAAAAGAAAATTATTTTCTCTGATTTTAAAAGGTACCTTATTTCCTATGAAAGAACTTTGAAATAGTCTAGGTCCAGGCAACAAGTCTACTATCAGAAATGTTTAGAACTGGAATATATTCAAGTTCATCACAGACTAGGCAACTTTAATAGGAAGGCAGAAGCACACTTTGGTTGCAGGAACTTAGCATATCCCAGGGCATCACAGAGCACTCTCAGAGTGTTCTGAAACATGGGTGCACCCAGGCCTGAATCTTAAAGCTGTTTGTTTTCACCATGAAAAAGAACAAATATAAACATCAGTTCCCTAATATAATAAAGAGGGTTTTATTCATTATTTTTGGTTGTTTTTATTTTTTGTTCATAAGTCCTTTTACATTCTCAATATTTTACAGACTGGTCTGTTCACTAAATTTCAGTTCAGATGCTGGAAATTAAAATAGCAATAGAGAGGACATGATTTTCTCTGTTTGATCTTTTAAAATGTCCTATAAATACAGTTCCTCTAATTTTATTTTTTGTTGTCATCATTATCATCATCATCATTATTATTGTAGTATGGAAATTGAACCCAGGGGCACTTTTACTGGTCAGCTACATCCCAGCCCTTTACTTTTTACTTTGAGACAGGGTCTTCCTTAAGTTGTCCAGGCTGTTCTCAAACTTACGATCTTCCTGCCTCAACCTCTGGAATCACTGGGATTACGGGTGTGCTACACTGCACCCAGCTCATTTTATTTTTTTTCCTGCATTATGTCTTTGTAATTATTTCAAATTTGAATATATTATAAGTCTGATATTTCTTCTCATAAGTGCAACAATAATGTGTTGGTATACATTGTTATAAACAGTGCTCAATATTAAATAACTAGATTTATTCTTAAAGTTGATGGCTTAATTACTTTCTTATAAAAGGATTGAACACCAAAAAGGGATTCCAATCAAATC